ACTTACTCTTCTCTCTTGCTTCCTTTGGCATGGGATGAGAGCGCCATTTCCTACTATGGCCTTCATTTTATTTAGGATCCTGCTCCAACAGAAGGCAACAGTGGAGCAATCGGAATGGTTTGCTGACAACAGAGATGACGATGGCTTTTGCTACTTACTGATGAATTGTAAATGTTATGTCACATGTGAGACCCAACAAAACATGATAAACCTGGAGTGAACATGCCAATTTGGGAGCCCTAATTCCTAAAAGTAGCTTTTCAGGATGGATTTTTTGCCCCTTCCCTAGTTTAGAGTAGATACAGTTTAGAGTAGAGAAAGAATACTTTGTAGAAGATTATATTTCCTTCATCAGTGTAAAGTTGTTGTAATTTGGCTAATTTGAAGGTAGAATTTTTCTCTGAAGTACATTGGGAAAGGTAAGTGCTACAAAATATTCAAAAAATATGTGAAAAGTCCCACATAATAGAATATAAGTGAATCTAGGAGCACCATCTGAGTCAGTTTTACAGAGCTTTTTAAGTCTAGGGAAACAATATTTAAATACATGATACTGACAAATTTAGAACAAAAATAGCTTTCTACTAAAATATTTATAATTTTTTTTTAAATTTTGCCAGAGTATGTGTGTTCATCAAAGCAGCAGGCAGACAGACAGAAAAGAGATGGAGAAAGCACATCTCAACAGGGCATGGCATGCCACAGTCTCTTCTTAATTTCTTTACTCTGTCAGCATTTTGGCCATGCACACATGTTTTTCAAGCCATAGTGTCCTGAACTCGAACTACATGGTCAGCTTTGTAGGGGTTCAGCTGCCCTAAGCAACAGGCCAAAATGCAGCCAAAAAATATTCATTTCTATAATTAAAATAATAGTTCATAATTGAGGATATTTTGTTATAATCTAATTCAACAGGCTAAAGCCATGAGAAAGTAGGGGCAGGAGGAGGCATGGTGGTTAATGTGCTGGACTCCTACATGGCCAACTGCAGTTCAAATCCTGGACCTGGCAGCTCTAAAAATGTGCATGTGTGTCCAAAATCTCAAGAGGAGAGTGGAGGAGAAGGGATTGCTGTCTCCTCTGGGGGATGATTTCTCACTTTCCTTTTCATAGTGTCTCTGTTTCTCCTGTGAGCACATGCATCCTATGGCAAAAAAAAAAATGGGAAAGTGTTCGAAGTAGACTTTCATGTTTATTTTCATCCACTTTTATTCTCCCAAATCCTTTAAATTTAAACTTATAAAAATTATTGTGAAAAGTGTCAAGTATATATAAAAATCTGGAGATGACAGAATAAAGCATCACCTTTTACCCATCAGCTCATACCCAACTTTATGTGACCCTACCCATTTCTTTCTCCTATATTACTCAGCTCATACCCAACTTTATGTGACCCTACCATTTCCCTCTCCTCTATTATTTGGAAAGTGTAACTTAGATGTCATGTCATTTCCTCCATATACATTTCAGCATTTTTAATTCATTTTTTATATAATCTGTTATTCTTTTGTGCCATTTGGTGCATCTCTTTTTGAAGTGATCTTCTGACTATACATTGAAAAATGTCACTTGTAAGACTACCTCTTAAAACAAACCACATTACTAGAAGGCAAATTTACATTCAGTGAATATTAGAAATGCTCTTTGAAAATGAAAAACATGAAATTTTAGTGCTGCCTCTTACCTAACCTAAGAAAGAGCCAGTTGCATCTCCTTTGTGTCCTTCTTTGATGTGCAAAATCAAGTATACTGTACAGTGGCCCTTAGGCAGGTTGCCAGCTCTTCTTGCATCTTAATTTCTTGTTTCATTTTTTGCAGACAATGCTGCCATGGACAAGCCCTTGTCAAAACTGGCCCATGCTGATGGAGAACAAACATCAATCATCCCTGTCCATCAGGTTATTGATAAGGTCAAGGGTTATTGCAATGCTCATTCCGACAACTTCTATAAAAACATTATCATGTCAGACACCTTCAGCCACAGCACGAAGTTTTAATGTCCTTAAGACAGAAAAAAAAAAAAAAGAAGATCTGCAAGCAGTGAAAACTACGATGAGCAGATATAAATGTGCTATTACCTAGGTAACTGCATATATATATGAGGAATGTAATTTAAGAAGGCTTTATGACATTCAGAATTTATCTTTTCCACACACTTCTTCCATGGACAGCTTTGCATCATCAATAACCCTTCTGTAATGAAAGGAATGTTGACTCAATAGCCATGGGAAAAATAATTTTTTAAATACAGAATTGAATGATCTAATCCAAACTCAAGGGGAGACATTAAAGTTGGAGGCTAAGTGAGAAGCAAAGCTAAGGACACACCCTAGTTTAGAGCTCCTTTATGCCCCACCTAAGAGTTAGTGCTTGATGTAGCTATTCCTCACATCATCTTCCTCAACAACAGAAAGCATTCTCACATTTCTAACTATTTTGGTTGCCAGTGCTACTTCTATGAATGTGTTCAGCATTTTCTCTTTTTGAGTGAAGTTTCAATTACAAATAGAAAAGAAATAGAAAACATGTTTAATGTTGGACCCAAAGATTTAAAAGGATTTTTAAAAACATTTATAACAAATGTTTAACCTTGAGGACCATAACATGTTTGACAATCAGTGTTCCCAAAATTATGACCTAATTAGTATGACACAATGTAAACTTACAGTATTTCACTTATTCTATTAAAGCATACGACTTACATAACTTCATTAATTATAATTTGACCCCATATATTTGAATCTAATTTAGTGCTAATGTCACATTAATGCAGACCATCCAGTAGACATTCAAGAAGGAATCTTCTAGATCTCTGCTTTTACTCCTCTACTGTACATTGATCCCACAGGTTCATTGGAAGGAAGTGGATTTTCCATCAGTCCGGTTGTGTACAACAGTCTTTCCCTTTTAGGAGACAACACTGTTGAGACCCCACAGTCCTGTCTCTGCTCTCCACTTAAGACATTTCTTTCTACCTGCACAGAGTAAACCCTCTTTCTTCCCTTATTAGGAGTTTGTTCCAAGGAATATAGACTAAGATATATGGATGGCTCTGGATAATCAGAGTCATTTATAAATATGTGGATTACGATTACTAACCCAAAAGCTAGTTGTACATAAGTCTTCTGATTATAGTATGTAAGAGCCTGAGGAGGTCTAGCAAAACAGTGTGTTATTTATGGATCGCTATGCTGCACACCAGTTCTGTTTTATATCAAACAACTTACCTAAATCTCAGGCTATCCTGAGTAATGGCTTGCTAGCAAAGGCGTAGGAGACCACATTTTAATTGTTCTTAAATGATGGAGTCCAATCCACTTTCTTAGAAACTGGCCTCCATGCTTGCTGTACTCGACATTTTCTCTGGGTTAGCTGGGAAATACCAGGTTCTGAAAGGTAGCAAAACAAGTGATGAAGAGAGGGAGATATTCTGGCAGAGCCAGTCTGCTTAAAGGCAGAGGCCAGACCTTCCCCTAGGTGCAGAGAGCAGGCAGTTCTCACGAGTGGGCTTTCAGCCTAAGCAGCAAATCAAGGGGCCTCTCTCTTTTTTATTTTTTTGCCGAGCTTCAGTCATAAAGCTGTTTGCCAGTCTTGAACAGAGGATGAAATAATGAGATAGTGGGATCTTATCGCAATTTTGTTTCACAGCAACTTAGAACACCATCCTGGGAGACGTGCCCTTTTCTGAGTCTGGCTTTCATAGGAAAGGGCTATATTTAGTAAAAAGGAACAGTAACTCTTGAGATCACTAAGATTCACTACAATAAAATCAAATTCTTCTTATTATATATTAATAGGCCACATAGTCTGTCAGAGATTACATATACATGAAAATTATTCTTAAAAATCACTGATTACTGATAAACTTCCCCTCCAAACCATAGATATCCATGCCGATTGTACTTAGCTTTGGACTGTGAAAATGCTCATTAGATAATAGGAATTAAGCTATAGCTTTAAAAATAACTTTGCTTTTCATTTCTGCTCATATTCATCTAGATCTAAAAAACAACTAATTGTTTTTTTCATATCAATGTCAGCTCCACTTAGGAATTTTTCAGTAACTGAGTGAGGCAAAAGGAAGAAACAACTGCATAGAAACGTTTGCAAATGAATTTAAAAGAGTCAACCAAATTCTACCTTTAGTTCTAGGCATGTATTCACTAGCTTCATTTAGCTCCCTTAGAACAGAGAGTAGGAATGTAAACAGAGAGCTAAAATTTAGACTAGCTTACCTTTGAGAATAATTTCAATTTAGACTTTCTGGAATTTCTTTTCCTTTTTTTAAAAAAGCTGTGTTGTAATAGAGTCTTAATGTAGGTCCCTGAGAGATTTTCTATTCTTGCCACCATGACTTCCTCTGTAAAGGTTTTCTTTGTCGATTGTTGGCAGACTCTTTTGTACATATTTATTTATTTGTGTTTATAAATGTCAATTCATTTCCTACCCTAGCTTTATATTGCCTTGCTTTGTTGTTTTCATTAACTTTCTATTAGAGAGACTGTATATATATTTTTCTAAATACTGTGTGAAATAGTTTTCTATAGCAATACCTTTGAATATGATGAATAAAAGTGACTGTGAGTACAAATTAGAATTAGTAGTAAGATGCTACTAGAACTGATTTGCCATTTTACTTAAATGGAAAATATTTTTCAAATAAATACGTATGTTGTTCATGCTCCAATTTATTCGGTTCCTTTATGAGTGGATGTTTATATTTCTGACTCTTAAATAGGAAAAGATGATATGACAACTGGAAAATAACCTGCCACCAATTAAGCTAGTGACATGGGGTTGCTTTGCCAAAATACAAGGAATGAATATATTCCAAAGATCCTATTTCCTGGGGATTAATGTATTTTGAAGTTCTTAGACTTTCTTAGGTTGACAGATGCAAACGTAGAGCCAAGCTCAGTAAAAGGTTAAAAGTAGAACAGATTTTTTTGGTGGAAGGTCTTCAGCATCTCAAAAAGGGAACTAAGAAGGTAGTGCCCTATAGCAAAAATCTCTCTAGAAAAAAGAAAGAAAGAAGAAAGAAAGAGAGAGAGAGAGAGAGAGAGAGAGAGAGAGAGAGAGAGAGAGAGAGAGAGAGAGAGAGAGAGAGAGAGAGAGAGAGAGAGAGAGAGAGAGAGAGAGAGAGAGAGAGAGAGAGAGAGAGAGAGAGAGAGAGAGAGAGAGAGAGAGAGAGAGAGAGAGAGAGAGAGAGAGAGAGAGAGAGAGAGAGAGAGAGAGAGAGAGAGAGAGAGAGAGAGAGAGAGAGAGAGAGAGAGAAAGAAAGAAAGAAAGAAAAAGAAAGAAAAAGAAACATGTGGAAGCGAGGGCCCAGAGTAGTTTTCTCACATTTATTGCTGTAATTTTCATTCTGGGAGGCTTAGAAAATGACAATTTAGCCAGTTTATCTCGTATAATTAGAACAGAACCTCCCTTTTTAAATTTTTTCCCCTACTGTGATTATTTAGGCTCACTCTTTTCTGCAGAGAGCCAAGACCCAGTTTGGCTCAGAGCCCTTCTCTGCCAAGTGTATGCCCAGTACTAAACTGTGAGGTGCTTTGGCAGGTCACTGGGAAGTCAGGGTTTCTGTGCCAGCGGTCACAACTTATGGCCAAACCATGTTAAGAAAACAGACAAGCAGTTGTTAAGGCCCCTCTCCAGTCAAATAGGGGCAGGTTACATCAGAAAACTGGGAGAGCCGGGCGGGGAGGCGGGGCGGAGTGAGAAGCACTTATTTGATTTACAAGCTGACCTTGCTTATAGTATTTTTGAAATCTGAAGGAATTGGACTTTAAAAATGCAGTATCTTAGAAATACTTCTGTGTTTTCTGTTGAATAAAATCTTCTATCCCTCTACCCATCAGCCTTCCTTTCTTTTCTCACTTTTTCCTTCTTTCCTTTTCTCTTGCCTTTTTTTCTTCTCAGCATCTCTCTTCATTTCAAGAAAGAATAAGAGTAATAGAGGGTTTTTTTTTTTTTCCTATCTCCCTAGAGAAAAAAAAAATGTGAAAATTTTCACATGGTTGCATTATATTCTATAGCCTGTCTAAAAATAAAGTAAAACAGACAAAAACATATTGTACCACAGGCAGCTCCAACGTAAACTGAGAAATTTGAAACCTGACTTTTAAAGAATTAAATATAGGGGGCCAGCCAGATAGTATGCTAAGATGGCTGGATCTTACATGGTTAACTATGTGGTTCAAGTCCTGAACCTGGCAGCTTGAAAAACATGCTGGGTGTGTGTCCATGCATGCCCAAAAACCTAAGTGGAGAATGGAGGAGAAGGGATTACGGTTTGGTCATCCCACCTGGGAAGTGCTTTCTCACTTTTTCTCTTTTTCTCTCCAGTGACTGCATATTAATTAAAGAAAAATAAATAAATAAATAAATAAAACCTAAAATTCACAAACATGTTTGGGTGCCAGATGTTCGTTGATTACCTTGTGTAATTTTCACCACAGTTCTACGAGGAAGTCATGTAATTCCAGATTTCCAGTTGAGGAAACTGGTGTGGTGAATGAGAGTGAATAACCTGCCTGGGGCCATGGAGAAAGAAAGAGCAGGCTTCGCATGCAGCCCATCTGACTGTGTGGTCATTCCTCTAGTCAGCACACTAGCTGTCTCTTTGGTGGACAAGAAGCCTTGGGCAGGAAGGTGACCCAAGGACAGGATAACTGCCATGAAATACAAACTAAAGCTTCCAGAAAAGCTCAGGATCAGCAAAGCATTGGCGATGATTTGGTCTTTGAAGTTCTGATGGATTCTGTCTGATTGGCCTCTCCTGGGGAGTGGGGGGTAAAGAAAGTTATTTCAGGCATGGAGGTTGGAAAGTCCAGGGCAGGGAGTGGAACATAGTTGAGGTTGGCTTGATTGTAGGGTGTGCAGAATGAGTTGTAGTGGGATGAGGGCCATCGAATGAGAAGTCCAAGGGCTGGCTGTAGGGATTTTACCTACCAGCCACAGAATAAAGGCTTCTGGGCAGTAAAGGGACCCACTGTCATTTGGGCTGTAAGAAGGTAACTGGTGAGGTGATGAGAAGGAAGAGAGACAGGACTTGGAGAGAGCAGAGAGGAGCCCTCTAGAGAAGACGATACAGCGACCAAGCAATGCAAAGGCCCCTGTCTGGGGAGCACAGGGCTCAGAGAAATGGTGACATGCATGAGGCTTTCTATGAAGCAGGAAGCTCATGGTTTGGCAAGAACTAGTTCTCCAAATCAGAATCCATCTGAGTGCCCTGGTTGTTTCTGGACACTGTGGGGTTGGAAAGAACAGTGAAAGAAACTATGCTTGTCAGAAAAACAACAACAACAAAAAAAAACACAAAAAACAGGGGCCAGCAGTTAGCATAATGGCTATGTTGCTGGACTCCCATGTAGTCGACCGTGGTCTGAGTCCCAGGCCCGGTGGCTTAAACTCACGCTGGGCACGTGTGCGTGCGTGTCCAAGATCCCGAGAGGAGAATGGAGGAGAACGGATTGCAGCATGGTCATCACCCTGGGGGGTGATTTCTCACTTTCTGTCTCTCTGTCCCTCCTCTGTCTCTCTCTGTCTTTCTGGTGAGTGCACAAGTCCTATAGCAAAAACAAAACAGAACAAAACAAACAAACATAACTCTCAAAAAAACAAACAAACAAAAATAACTGCTTATGTCAACAAATATGAACACAGGAGAAAACAGGCTGTGTCAGTTGTTTAGAGCATTAATAGGGCCAGTGGGGGTGCAGTGATAACACAGTGTTTGGTAATGCTGAAGCCATATTGAAGGTTCCACGTTAGTGTCCTGATGTCACCACGTGTCTGCCTATGATCCAGGTAGGCCGAAGTTGGGAGTGATGATGGCATAAAGACCCTGGTGTGGATGGCGTTCTCTCTCGTTTCCTTTCATGCATGGGCAAAAGAAAGAATTGTTTAAAAAAATTACATATGGCAACTCCCCCGCCCCCCAGTGCAGTAGTTAATCCCCATATAGAGGGAGCTGGATCCCACCCGACCAACCACACGTCAGTCTCTGGCCTCATGGCTTGAAAACATGCAAGATCCTGATAGGATGGAGGAAAGTGATGGTGTCATGACCACATGGAGGATAACGCTGTCTCTCTCTCTCTCTCTCTCTCTCTGTGTGTGTGTGTGTGTGTGTGTGTGTGTATCTCTATCTGGTATTTGCATGCATGCTCTGGCATTAGAAAAATGAAATAAAATACTAAATGGAGTAGTCAGCAAGTGGCATAGTCATTAAGGCACTGGACTCCCACATGGCCAACCACAATTTGAGTTTTGGACTCATTGGCTTAAAACTCACACCAACCATGTGTGTGTGTGTGTGTGTGTGTGTGTGTGCGTGCCCAAATCCTGAGAGAAGAATAGAAAATAAGGGATTGCATCAAGGCCATCCCCCCAAGGGGTGATTTCTCACATTCTGTCTCTCTGTCTCTCCAGTGAGTGCACACACACTATAGCAAAAATCTCTCAGGGAGAAAAAATATATAAACGTAAAGGAAAAGTGTCTTAAGTTTTGTTTATGTCTTTCCTGGACGGAATGTAGTAATTGAAGGGAAAACAGAAGGCACCAGAAGAGAGTGAGTGGATGGTTCATGTAGCAGATTTCTGAGGGGGAGAGAAAGGAATGAAATACAAGGAGAGGGTTCAATCCTGGCAACAGAAACAGGCCTGTCCTTCTGAGATCAAAGACTATTTTTATAAGGCTATTAGATGAGGCCAGCAGATACAAAGAGACAGATAGTAGGGA